CCGGCAAAACAGCGAGTGGCTTCAAATGATTGCCCTTCATGTTAGTGCCCCAGAGTTCACCTACTGTGCCACCAGAGTGCCTCCAAACCTGCTCGGCACATCCCTGTCCTTGGCTTGGCCATGCTGGCATGCTTACAATCAAGTCTAGTTGGTGGGAACTATGAATTTTTAAAGTTTTATCACCACAGCTGCGATGTCATTAGGAGGGGGGGAGTATCATCCAAGAACAGAAACTCCAAATTCTTTGTAAAACCATCTCCAGAGAACATCAGATGCCTGAAAAGCCCCCTCATAAATGACGCAGATGTCATGCTATGGCGAATGTTCTTGCCACCAGAGAAGCACCATCAAAGTCTTCGACTCTTGCGCTACGTGGGGAGCGGCCAGGCTGACGCTATCTTCCATCTACAACTGTTCTCAGTTGGCACCCTCCCTGTGTGAACAGCTCCCAGGGCTGGAAAGTGGATGTGACTGCCAAGGGTGAGGAAAGCAGATCTTCCCAGCCCGTGCTGCCCTGACTGCACAAAACCTAATGATTTTTAATTCTTCAACTAACCAAGTGGCAGTGACGCCCTCTAATCCAAGGGGTCTTCAGGCAGTTCGTAACAATCCCATCCATGGTCCAGGCTGGTGAGGTTTTCACACAGGGATGAGGGCGCTGAGCACAGTACGTTTGGCTTATTTGAAAAGGGCCCAGACACTAACGCTGGGCTGTATTCAATGAGGGTGGCAGGTTTGTTTGGGAAGTCTATTTCTGATAATAGCTCAATTTTCACCTGGACTCCGAGATAAAGGCAAGTCCTTAAGAGCAGTGGTTCTCAACCTTCCTATTGCTGCGGCCCTTTAATACAGTTCCTCATGTTGTGACCCACCCCAACCAAAAAATTATTTTCATTGCTACTTCATCACTGTAATTTTTGCTACTGTTATGAATCATCATGTAAATATATGATATGCAGGATGTATTTCATTATTGCAAATTGAACAAAATTAAAGCATAGTGATTCATCACAAAAACACTATGTGACCATATATTGTGAAATACTTATTTCTAATGACAAAGAAAAGAAATGTTGTCTTGAAGCATGGTGTAGCATGGGTAACTATCTTCACGCCGGGTACTCATATGTAGGCATAGCTGCATGTGGGTGGACCCACCTGGAGACGGATAGAGGAGCGGTGTCTCAGTTCCTAAGATCATCGGAAATATGTTTTCCAAAGGTCTTAGGTGATCCCCGTGAAAGGGTCATTCAACACCCAAAAGGGTCACAACCCACAGGTTGAGAACCGCTCCTCAGTGTGAAGTGCTGGACCTGCAGTTAGCTTGGGCTTTGCTGAAATCTGCTTACTGGCCCGAGCTGACCGGGTGGTTACTTTCCTTCACTGGATGTAGGCACCTGGCGAGGGGGCAGGGCCCTCGCTGAGAGAGTGCAATCTTTGCAGCTGAAGCAATCCCCCGAGGGGCCGAGGGGTTGACAGCTGAAGGCGCTCTGCCAACGGCCCTCTTAGGAGCTGGGGCAACAAGTCCTTCGTTGACAGAGGATTTGGATGGTGAATCTGAAGCCAGCACAACTCCGGTTTCTGGACAATTCAGGTCTGAATCATCTGCCCTGTGTGCCTCCCTCCTTGCCCCGCCCTGCTGCCGTGGCTGTCAGGATCACAGGGGGAAGGAAGAGTGGGTCTGAAGCTGGTCAGGGTCACTTTACCCATCGAGAATGCACGAGTAAATGACAAATCCTCTCCCCAGAAAAAAAAAAAGCCAATACACACACCAAAAAAAAAAAACCGCCCAAGAGTACTTTAGCCTACCTAGCCCATGGGCACTTCCTATGGACTTCCTATTTCTAGCAGGAAACATTTAATGGACAACTGAAAATGATAAAGGAAAAATAAAAAAAACACAAACACAAGACTATCTCCTGCTCTCTACTTCTTAAGATAAATGTTGCTGATATAGTTAAGGTTTATTGTGCCAACCTGGCTGTTAAACACATGTGGGATTAATTGAAGGGCGGAGGGATAAATGGCTCGATGAGCCTCGCCTTTCTAGTTCTCGGGTCTCTTGCTCTCTGAGGGTCGGACCAGGGTGCAACTGCCTTAGCCAGTTCCCAGCTTCAGCTGGCAAAGCTGACTTCCTGCGAGACATCCATGGGGAGAAGCCACATGGACCTACCCCGATGCAGCCCTGGGTGCTGGAGCAGCTGCGTGGAGACCCTGCCAGCGCTGAGATGCTTACACGTTCTCTGACTCGACTTTCCTCCTGCAGTCGGCGTCATAGTGTGTGTTTTGTGAGATTGAAGAGAACTTTGTAGTTGGTGTCAGGCATATGGGCTAATAATGTTGGACTTCTGGGCTTGGCCAGCACTGGGTTGGGATGCTTTCTTAATGTACACTTGCCCTTTCTATAAAACTCTCTTATACATATGCATCTCTGTGGATTTGTCTCTCTAATGTACCCAGCCTAACATAGTGGCACAGTAATCATCATGTTGTCACTGTTACGGCTGAGTGCCTTTAAGCTGACTCTGACTCCCAGGGACCCCCCAGGACAGCGCAGAAGAGCTCCCTGGGGTCTTCCTGGCTGTCTTCCGTCCTGGATACAGACTGCCAGGTCTCTCATCGCGGAGCGGGGCTGGGCAGATCACGATGTCAACTGCCCCAACACCAGCGCTCCTTGAAGCCGCCTCATAGAAGCTGGTACAGTATGCCAAAGAGACAGGAGATTTTCAATTTTGCCTCCCCAACGAAGAAACCCATGGAATTTAGAAACAGGACCTGTGAGCCACTAGGCCACAGGCCACACCTGATGGCAACAACTGGAAATGGAGAGACTGTGTGGTCCTGCTCCTTAACCCTTGGCACCCTGTGTCAAACCACGCTAATAAGCCTTTCTGCAACCAAATTCACAAATGACCCAACTGTTCTTGCTTTAAGTGGCAAGGAAGTAGCAACTAGATGTTTAGCCCATTCAAAGCCTGGTTCACAAGGGCCCCAGGGCAGCAAGTACTCTCAAGACGCTGGGCCTTGGAGAGTCGGATTGCTAGGGCAATGGACCACCCCATGCAGGCTGTGATGGCTTCTCACGACCCACAGCAGACACTGTCGCAGCACAGGGGCTTGCCGAAAGCCCTGCTCTGCACTCTGTACTGCAGAGAAAGGAGTACAGCACCAACATCCCCCAGAGAAGGCAGTACTGAGCTTCCTTCTTAAGCTAGCAAGACCCCTTTTGTGCTCTAATTGCCCGTGTTTTCCGCAGCCAGCAGTTCACAGAGACAGTGTCGAGAAGGCACATGGGAGGGAGGAAAACGGAGATAACAGGTGACAGAACTGAAAGCAGTACAAAGGGCTCTTGTCCCCATGTCAGCCCTGAGGGTAACGGCTGCCATGAACCTGAGAAATAACAAAATAATAAAGATATAAATGTACAATCGTTCCAGAGCAGAGGTTCTCTCTCAACCGGGGACAATGTTTGTCTCCCAGGGGGCATTCAGCAATCCTTGGGAATATCTTTAAAGCCTCCCAGTGGCATAGTGGGTTAAGGAGTGGGCAGCTAACCCAGAGCTGGCGGCTCAACCTGAGCAGCTGCTCTCCTGGACAAAGATGGCGTCGTCTGCTTCCCTCAAGATCGAGAGCCGAGGAAACGCTGTGGGCCGGTGCTAGTCTACCCCACAGGCTTACTCTGTGTCGCAGGTAACCCGAGATAGCTGTGGTCGGGGAGCCTGTTCTGGCCGTCACTGCCCTGGTGAGGTGGGTACCATTGGCAGCTAGAGGCCGACACGCTCAGACTCCTGCAGTGTACAGGGCAGTGCTCATAACAGAAGTCACCCCCCACCCACAAATGTCCACAGTGCTGGGGTGGAGAAAGCCTGCTATAGACCCATGGGTGCATTTCCAGTTTGATTCACTGGGAGCACTTCTGCTGCTCAGCCTTCCTGGTAAAGGCAAGGTGCTGCTGCTGGTGGTTGAAAAAAGCTGGTGGTTTAATAAAGCTGGCTGCAAACAGTTGTGCGGTCTTGTACAGTCTCAGGTTCCCTGGCGGCCAGTCCTGGAAAGAGAGGTGCACAATGCAGGGCACCGGGGGTTCTGTGGAGGGGCAGCTGGCGCTCCTTCCTACTGACCCCTCATCTGACATTCAGTACTGAGGAATGGCCTGCTCGTTCCTTAAGACAGCACCTCGCAGGAAAAGGAGCCTCAGTCAATAGACTACAGATGTGAAAATGACGATGAGGACACAGCAACGGGGTCACGAGCTGAAGCAAAGGCGGGAAGTTCACAAGGCAGGGGACAGAAGCATCCAATTGGAATGATTCCATGCAAAGAGAGGAAGGTGAAAATCGTCCCAGGAGGTAACGGGCAAATCCTTGTTCATTTGAAGATGCCCTCTAATATCGAAAGGTTGCACTTGTATTCATATTTTAGAAATGTACATGTGTCTAAAACACCGAAGTTGAGAAGCAATACTCGACAGTCCTCTTTTATGAATGAGTTTCTCTCCCCTGTTTCAGGAAGCCACGGGAAGGCAGGCTGTCTAGGACGGGCTAGATAAACGATGCCAGCTACTCCCTTAACAACAACCAACCTTTGGACCAACTGCCCCGTGTGCACAGTAATTTACACACACACAGACATCCTGGTCTTCACTACTTCGTGATGAGGGAAAACCATCAAACGAACTTACTTCTAAGATGTCATTTTCTGCTGAATGTGTTCTTAAGGGACCTTACACAGTCTAGAAAAGGATGCTGCCTGGGCTAGACTCAGACTCACAGGCAGACTCCACTATTAGCCAGGGGAACTCTTACACAGGGTGGGGGTGGGGACGGGGTGCGGCAGAGAAAGGGGGCTTCAAAAAGTTCCATCATTTCTGTATTCCGTTTTTCTATGAACTTTTTGAAGGCCCTGCGGACATGGTGCATACTGAAGGAGAAGGTAAAGGTTAGCCCTGGGGAGGAAGACTTCCCGAACAGGCAAGTGACACAGGCACAGGGGCGACAACTCACCGGGAGTCGTTGTGATGACTGTTGCAGGCTCGGGCCATTAGCACCACGATAACTGGTCGAAAGGCTTTTCCTTTTCCATCAAAGTAGTACTCGGACATTTCCTTCAGTTCGGCTGGAGAGATGAGCAGTTCCTGAAAGAAAGTGTCTCTGGGTCAACATGGCATCAGCGACGGCACACAGAGAGTCAGCAGGATGGAAGACCACTACCCTTGCAAACTTGGACTTGATTATACAGGATGTGTCTCAATTGAGAAAATCCAACATTCAGTTGGAAAAGGTTCCAATTCTGTGTGGCCGTAGACCGGACTGCCCTGCGGGCTTTGGACTATGCCTGAGCAATGACTGGGTGACAGAAATCTGAGAAGCAGGTGCTGCCATCAGCGCCAGAGGCGGGCGGTCGGTCGGTAGCACAGAGAACGGACAGCAGGAGGGAAGGAACACCATGCGAGCGAGCGGGGACTCGGCGGCGAGAAGTGCACACAGGAGCAGCTTGGAAGCGTGGAGGGGAGAGGATGACGAGCAGGCGGGAGCGCCATTGCCCGTGCGGAGCCACGGAGGCAGGAGACAGGTTTGGGTGGCCTGGGTTGGAGGCAAAGTCCAGATTAGAGGCAGTTAAGCTTGTGGAAAGAGAAAGACCCTTCAGGTGATGGATCAACGGCTGCACCCGTGGGCGCAAACAGGACACCACTTAGGAGTTCGGTGCTGGGCAAGTCCGTTTTGTGGCGTTGTACATTCGGACGACACAAGTTGGAGCCGACTTGATGGCTTCTGAAAACAACAAGATTGTGGCACGGGGGCAGTAGTGGCGGTTACTAAGCCTGGTTTTTCTTTACCGAAAGACATTTCAAGATCCCTCGAGAAACTACTGAAGACATGGTTGGCCTGATTGCGAGGAAGCTTACAATCAAGCAGGCAAGACAAACCAGTCAGTGACTAATACAGGGCTTAGGGAGAAAGGTGAGGCTGGCTGCTCCCCAAAAGATGTACTGTCTCAGAAACCCTACAATGAGTTGCTTTCTGCGTCACAATCGACCTGAGGCGGCGGCTGGGGTGGTTAGCTGGGCCACAGGGCCAGCCTGCACATTTTGCACATGAAGTACGTGAGTTCGGCGAAGAGAGAGGTCAGCTCGGGCTGGAGAAGCAGGGCGTTTCGCTGTGGGGAGTGGCTTACACTTGGGATCAAAAGAAACGGGACTGTGACTTGGGGAGAGGAAGGTGAACCTTATGGGGAGGGAGCACCTGCTGCACAAAGACTTGCTTGACTGGACGAAACGTGTCCCTGGAAGCAGTGGGTGCCAAGAGCAGGGCCCGAGGGTGACCCTCAGGCGGGCGCAGGCAAATACTGCACAAAAGGCCAGTCATTCTTTCGTAAAAACACTGTCACAGGGCCAAAGGCTGTCATAAATGTATGGGTTACAAAGATAAGCAGACAGCTCCTTGCTTCCTAGGAGCTCAGAGTCCAGGTGGGGAGAAGTCACACAGTAACTGCCACTGAACACAATTCAAGATGACAACAGGTACTACCAGGGAGAAGCAGGCACTTGGGGCACAGGCCTGGGAATGGGAAGAGGACAGCAAGAATTTCCATCCTGGACAACAGAAACGAGGGTCAGTCCGACCAAGGAGTCGAGGAGACACGGTGGATGTGGACAGGGAGGGAGAGAGGAGTCAGGAATCCTGAATCCTTCTAGGCTCTTGGGGGTACCGTCAACGAACAAGGAAAGCAATAAAAACAAAAAAAGTCATGGGGGCGAAGTATCATTTCAGGTATATTAAACTTGAACTATTTGTCCTTAGAATTTCTTAGAGCTGCCCAGTAAGCACTTTGGTATCTGGACTTCAAGGCAAAACATTCAAAAACACTGCCATCAGGTCGAATCCGGCTCACAACTACCCTGTAGGGCAGAGTAGAACTCTACAGATTTCTGAGGCCATAAATCTTTGAGGGAGTAGAAAATCTTACCTTTCTCCTGAAAAGTGTTTGGTGGTTTTGAACTATCCATGTGGTTAGTTAACACCACCAAGGCTCCAAATGGGCTTACAAGAGAAGATTCACTGACCAATCGAGTTGCCCCTGACTCATGTTCCACCCAGGGTGTAAATGGTTCATTCTCTCCCCTGCTAACCAGACGTGCCTGGGGATAAAAGCCAGGGAATCCACTTCTAAAAAACCACCAGCCACTGAAAGCCCGAATGGAGCACGGTTCTCGTCTGCTATCAGGGTGTCATGGAGACTCGTGTGAGAGCTATCCTCTGGGAGTGCTCAGGGCGGAAGGGAGTTCCTGGGTGGTGCAAAAGGCTGGTGTACTTGGCTCTAACCGAAAGGTGAGGGGGTCAGGCCCCTCACCAGGGACACCTGGTAATGTACTTCAAAAAACACCCCAAACCTTCGGAAGCCCCATTCGCTTGGGGCACATGTTTGGTCGGCGGCATGGGTGGAGGTAGTAAAACAGACGCTCCAAGGCAAGCTGAGGCACGGCCTGAGAACGAGCCTGAGAGTGCAAAAATGAGGGGCAGAGAATGGTCACCGTGTGAAATGTCCACAGACAAGGGGTGTAACCCCAAGGGGTTAGGCACTTAGCACCAGGAAATGACCACAGCCCTGAGAAAGCAGTTACAGGAGCAGCTGGACAGGAAGCTAGGGCTCAGGTGAAACTGATGCAGAGGGGCACGGAGAGCCAGAGGCCCGGGGATTCTGAGAAAGGGCGGCCCTTTGAAATGAATCGAAAAGAACCTGGAGCACCTTCATATAAGGAGGGGCCTCAAACAGGCCGGTCTGCGGATAAAGGAGGGGCAGCAGACCAGGCCTGGATGGAGCTGTTTTTCAGGAACTGAAGGGGAGGCAGAGGGTGAAGACAAGCTTGCCACTCATGTTGGCACAGGAGTGGAGGGGGCCTGCTTGCTGGGCAGTGAAATCACTCATTCACAGAGCCGACTCACAGTGCCCCTGTAGGACAGGGCAGAGCTGCCCCCGAGTTTCTCAGACTGTAAGTCTTCACGGGAGCAGAAAGCCCCATCTTTCTCCCGAGGAGTGGCTAGTGGTTTCGAGCTGCTGACCTTTTGGCTAGTAGCCCAATGCATAACCATGATGCTGCCAGCCAGGGCTCCTCGGGAAATGAATTAGGAGTATGTGCAACCTGAGAGAGAGGGGGGAAGGGTTGGCTTGGCTGATCCACTTGGCATCTGGTGAGCCATGGCAGAAGCATGCACAGAGTCTCATGACCACCGGGAGTGGGGAGCCCTGGGCCCAGAGCACTGCCGAGTTCCCGGCCTTTAGCAGGAGAAGCAGGGGAAACAGCAGCTTGAGCCAGAGAGGCAGGCTTCCCAGCCCACAGAACAAGAAAAGCTGAGCCTCTGGGCAGAAGGCGGCTTGTAGAGTGGGGTGCCTTTGGGCATTTATCAGTGCCAGTTGATTGTTGCAACACTTGCCAACGCAGGGCAGAGGCCAGGAGACACATGGCCGCTGGCAGGGATGAGAAGAGGTGCTGCTGCGGACACCTTAATGCTTTCTGATCCTGACTGGTCGCCTGCTAACTTCCCTCATAAGCCTCATCAGCGCTGTCAGTGAAGGATTCAGCCCAGCAGAGAGGTAGAGCACTGCAGGAGGGATGCTTGCATGTCTGACCTCTGCCTCACAGGAAGAGCCTTGGTCAGCTGTGGAGTTGGACTCTTTCCCCAGAGAGAAGCCCGAGGAGGTGAGCCATGGCCCCCGACCTTGTCTTTACGGACTTACGCGCTTGTTTGTCTCCCAAACAGGTGGTGATGTCTCCCGGAGAAGATAAAGCATGGGGAGAAATCAGAGAGCTGACAAGGAGATGCAAACACTTCAGAACCCATGTGAAGTTTGGGGACAAAGAGCAGACTTTGGGGCTCCTGGCACTGAGACCAGAAGAGGGTGGGGATGGCTGAGAGGCTTCAAGGTTCAGTAAGCTTGGAGGAGGAGCCGGAAGTGAGAGGACGGGTGAGGAAACTTGTTTCCCAATCATGTACTGCCAGTAGCATCTTCTCAGTTTCCCAACCCTGCAAGAGGCTTTTCCGCCTGAGAGCATGCCTGGACATTGCCCGGCACTGAGGTGTACACAGTTGATGCTCAAGAAACATTAAAACCAGACAGATACAAGTCAAGTTTGTAAGGACTTCAAGCTTTTCTGGGTATTTGCATGAGTTTCCCAAAATTCTAAAAGTCAACCTGATGGAGCAGCAGCATCCAAGAGCTTACCTTCCTAATGTCCTCATACAGACCTTTCAAGTCTCTCCAGCCAAGTTTGACAGGGTCGGCGTATTGCTCACCACTCTGCGTTTTGCTGCAACAGCACGCTGCTGACGTCGCGTGATGAGACCTGGGCCAGCCAAAGCACATGCTGAGTGCTCTTTGATCAAGGGAGGTAGCTTCACTTCTAAGCAGACATACACACAAGGCGGCCTTCTTAAGTTTGTGGGAAAATGGAATTAAAAGCATGGAAACATGTCCATGAACTTTTTGAAGCTCCCCGTATACCGCCTTATCTGTGGTAGTCAGATGGACGGAAGCTTATAATCACATACTGGAAACCAAGCATGGATCCGAAAGATTATAATTTAGGAAAACATACAGGATTCTGTTCTTGCGAAATAGTACATCCATACATCCTTTCTATCACCAGAACTGTGAGAAGCCAAAAAATTAAAGGAAAACTACACGTTGGTTCTGGGGTAAGTTTAGATCTTATTATAACCCTGAGTTTTGAAAAGGTAGAGCTCAGATACAAGCATGCAGTTAACCAATGTGCTAAATGTTCTGAACTGGTTATTTAGAATAAAAATTTGCTAGCAACATGATTAAACATGTTAGCAGTTGAATATGGTTCAAAAACTTACCGTGATATCCTGTACACGTTTGTAAAGGTAGATGTTAAGCTCTTCACAAGGTTAAAATAGGGCATCTATAAAATAAAATGAACCATTCATTAGAAAAATATGCCTGAATGCTGCGGTGTATAACACTGCCCTGATAATAAACCACCCCCACCCTCCTGATTCATAATGATTATACTCTTTTATCTTTTACTTGTTTGCTTATAAGTAGATTGTAAATGTCAGAAAAGCATAGTTTTAAAAAACAAACACACAAAAAAATAAAAAAAATAAAAATAAAAAACAAACACAAAACTACTTTTCTTTCCCCAATTAGAAAAGCAATACCTGTCACTCCAGAAAATATAGATAAGAAAAAAGGAGGGACTTCCGGGAAGATGGCAAACATACTAGAGGAACTCTGAAGAATTCAGCCCAGGAGAGTTGCTTAGAGGGAAATTCAACACTGCTGGAACGCAGGAGGAACATCATAAAGTTAAGTAGGCAGAGACCCACAAGGGTTTGAGGGCCTGGGGGCTTTTGGCATACCACAGTGGAGGCCAGCTAGGGCATGACCTTAGGCCCACCACTGCCTCTGCCAGAGCCGGGACCATTTGGAGCCTGGTAAGGGGGGCTTAATCTCAACACAGCTACAGTTTGCCACTGCCCCGCCTCTGGGCAGGGACTAAACCCTTGCAGCCCCACAGGCAGGGATCGAGGTTCAACTACATTGTTACTTTTCTTTCCCTCTCTTCTCTATGGGGCTTCTTCTCAACACAGCCACAGTTTGCTGCCACCACAGGGCAGGGACTAAACCCTTGCAGCTCAGTGAGCAGGGATTGGGGCTCAGCTACATTGCTACTTTTGTTTCCCTCTCTTCTCTATATATACCCCC